TTTGATGGCCTTATCGAGAAGGAGAATCCGTGCGCCGACGCTCTATTTTGGACATTTGGTGCCGATCAATTCCACTGTAGATGTAACGTAGTGTTCGTGGTGGCGTGCGGCCCTCAACATGTAACATGTGGGGCCCTTCCTGTGGCCCCCAAAACCTACCTTTTGAAGGAGCTATATATCAAAGGGGAAAAGAAGGGAACCTTAATGGGGACCCCTACCTTATAATGGGCTATATAATGGGTATATAACAGCTATATTTTTTTATACCTAGGGGTCCTTATTAAGGGTCCCTCCTTTTACCCTTGGAATATAATCAGGAACCTTAAGGAGGCTCTCTTGATGCCAGGTACAGCTTCCTGGCCTACAAAGGGCTGCAGGACTTCCCCCGGCCATTCCGGGCCTTCCCTGGCGTCCTCGTCCTTGTGGTTTCAAGTTTTCCGAGTGGGTTGAGCCCTTTTCTGCGTCAGCCCTGTTCCTAGGATCCTGGCCGGTGATACGAGTAGACGCAAGTTGCATTGCAAGTCCGGTGAGTCCTCGTCGTCTTCGGCCGGGCTCGAACATACAGCTTGCGTAACATGGGAACTAGACGGGTAGTACCCACTTTTGCAGGGAGTTTCAGGCACCATAAGCATAGAGTCCTGGTCCAGCTGCGCCATGCCGATGCCACCTTCCAAGAAGGCGGCTGCTCGCCAGAACCGTGCGGTAGACTGCAATCGAAGCTCAGGGTCCAATTCTTAAGGGGTTCCTTAAAGGGATCTATAAGGGTACTATAGAAGGTCCAGGGTTTAGGGAGTTTCCGAAAGTTAGGGGCACCTTATTTTAGGGGTCCTTATAATTAGGATCCGACTATTTAGGGTACTCTACCAGGGTCCCCTGTTTTCGGAAACTCCCAACCCTAAACCTTTTATAGAACCCTTATGGATCCCTCAAAGGAACCCGTAAAGGGTCCCCTATTCCTCGGACACTCCCAAATCTAACCAGTCTGGCCAGTCTGGGCTTGCATACCTAACCATTGATATTGGAGGAGCTAAGGAGCCAGGGATGATGATAATCCCTATTAAATAAGGGGCTAAAGAGCGATGGAACCCCCAAAACCACTGGTTAGATACGCCCAGCCAGACCCGGCTTCCCCCCCTCGTCCGTCTGCGTGGATGTCCATGTGCGCAGCTCTCTAAGTTAAGTTCCCTTCTTGAATCCCCAAGACAGTACGGCACCCTTAGAAAAAAGGACACCAAATGGGATCCTAGTTTAGAGAACCGCCCATGTCAATATTTTCGTGTCGATTGTGCGCTCGAGGCACTGTGCATCGTAGTAGGCTGAGAGATTGCGTCTCCGAGGTAGTGCCTGTGCCGGCGGAGGACAACAGGACGGCATCTGTAACGACAGGTGCTTCGGGGGCAGGGAATGTGGACAGAAGTTGCGGAACACTCTTCCAATGCGTGCTGATCAAGAGAAGTTGAGCCACAGATAAA